TGTGACAAACTGGTTTATTTTCCCAAGCAAATCAATAGTAGAGGAGTAAGATGGTCGGTGGCAGTAATGGTATTCTCTTCTGTGATTTCTTATTGTCAGATAGTCATTCTAAAGTTGTGTTGAGTTCCTCTTCACATGTTAACATATCACTCTTAGACATTTTAGCCTAGAAATTAAGTTTCTGAAATTTTGACATTTTTAGTGAAATTTTTTACTTACTTACCATTCTGACAGCTTTTGAAGATGTTATTTTATTAGGAACTAAGTTTCAGGAAAATTAACTTTCTAAAAGAAAGTGTGGTTCAGGTTTGATGTTCCCAACCAAGAAGATGGGCTGCTTTTCTGCTGTGGCTCCTCTATAATTCAGAGTTTCTCTTTGGTCAGCTTTTTCCTCAGATACGACAACTCAGTGACTCTTCAACAGTATAACAAAAGATTATACAGTGGGTAGCAGTAACTTTGTATTTCTTTAGGCATAAAACAAGCATTGTATTAGTAATATTTCTTACTGCTTTAAAAATTTTTAATATGGCAGTCGAGTTAGCTGTGAGAGTTTTCCAGTGTTTGTGCCTTTATGTGAACTGCTGTGGATCTGAATTGTATTGAAGAGAACTAGTTTTCAGTGGAACTCCTCATGTTGCAGTTAGGTTAATAACTATGTACTGTATGTAAAGTAGATGTTGAGGGTACTGTTCACAGTGTCGTGCATATTAAACAAACTGTCTCTTCACTGCAGAAGTTTAAAAAAACGCAGAAGTGTTCAGGTGAATTTGTAGGTTTCAAAGGTAAGTAAGGCAGTCTACAGTTACTGTTTCTGCTGTGCAGAAAGAATGTATTTTCAACAACTTGATTTGCAAACACGGATAGAAGTGGGAGGAAAGCAAGGTGAGTCACTGACTCATCCTCTAGTTGTCAGGCTTTGTGATTCTGAAGGGTGGACCAGGATAGCTTTTTAAGAAGAAATAAACTGAAAAACAAGTAATAGGTCTAATGATCAAAGTCTTGCAATTTTATTGATTTTGGGTATTCATATTGCTAGATAACACCCAAAGCTCTAGAGGTGTAAAATGTGTGCATTACTCTATGGAAGAGGCAAAAATATTGTGCAGCTGTCCTCTAAATAGTTTGCACCTTTTTTTTTTTTCTCCAGATGTGGTTGGTTTGTGCTGATACACTACTAGTTCCTCTGTTGCTCTGTACAAACCTTCATTTCCCAATGGTGCTTAAACATTTCACTTTTGGCAAAAGTTCTGTGCTTGATATTTACCATGATTAAGTTGCTAAAGCCATAGACTGCGTAATGGGGCAGAATGGAAGGAGATGCCTTTTCAGTCCTGTGCCATGATGTACTTAACCTCTCTCTGGTCTGCTGTTTGTTGCCTAAAAGTCTGAGACTTCGGTTCTATCATCTTTAATATAATCTGTCACTTGAGAAAGCTTTATTACAGGAACATCTGATAAAATGATAGGCTAAAATGATAGGTTTTGTTAGTTTTCTATATTTACATAATGAAGTCTTGAAGAAAAATCTAAATGGGAACAGTGCAAACCTGAAGCACCTTTCCTATCTCTTGAATATTTGAATAATCCCTTGAGTGTCCTGGCTATTCACATATCTGCTTAAAGAACTTGACTTATGAGGAGTTACTTAGCACAGGACAAGTATATTTTTGCCTTCATTACAGAACTGCTGAAAGACTCTATATTCCTTCAGTTTCTTTAATTAGGCTGATTAAATTAAATCCATTTAGGAGATGGCTTCTAAGTTTTTGTGCTACTTAATAGTCGCTCTGTGCTTTTAGCTCATCGTCTCATATTTATGAATTTAGTGAGAAACTTGATATCAGAACACATAAAAGCACTTCATGCTTTTCAGAAACTCAACCAAATTCTTCCATCTTAATATTTCAGCTCCAATGTGCTTTCAAATCTGTTATAAACCCCTATAAAATAACATGAGGTTTGCAATAGAGACTGACAGATCTCTTGCCTACAACTGCTAGTAGGCAGCAGCATAGTATATATAGCACTGGAGCGTAAGCTTTAATGAACTGGCATTGTAGAATTGACCAAAGCAATGCTCTTAATTTTGTGTGTGACCCTCTTGCGTAGTAAAGGTTGTCGTTATGAAATAAGAACTTGGAAAGGTCATAAACCTACTGGTAATAAATACAATTAATAATGTACATAGAACAATGGAATTAAGTACATTCCTATCAAAAAGAATTATTAATGAACAGAAAGTGGACAGCATAGATCTGATGACAGGAAGGTTGCATCTAATCTGAATTACTGAGTGACCTAGGAAGCTTGCTCAGAGGGATTACCAAATAATTATGTTAATATGCAATTATCACCTCATTTCTTCTGTAGTAACCTCAAGATGTAGTATAGTAAGGGTGTTATAGCAAGTGCTGATAGTTTGCAAAAATACTGATGTTCAAGATTTTTAAGACAATAAGATTACCTTAAGGCATTTAAATTATGATCTGTCAACTTGAAGATAGATATGACCTAATACTTTTTTAATGCTTAGACTATTTGGCCATAGGCAGTCATATCTGCAGAACATATGGTTTTTAAAACTGATATTTTATGAAGAAAAACAATATTTTAAGTTATGTAAATTGTAATTACTTAAGTAATAGTGGTGGAATGTGGCTTAGTTGGCTAAATAATTGGTTGTTTTCTACTTTGAAATATGAAATAATTTCTATATAATAAATAGTGTATCATGTAAACCAGGAACAGCGCTGTTAAGTGCACTACAGTCATTCAAGGCTTAACAGAAATAATTGAGTTTGGCCTAGCCTTTTAGATAAAGTGTGTTTCAAAGGTATGAGCGTGGGATTGTGTACGCTTGTGTAGGCTTTTTGAGAATCACCATTTTTACATTTATGTATCTCCTAGGTATATTGCACTATGTGCTTAAATAAAAATTACCTCAGCTCTGTAGTTGACGTAGTACCTGGCAGAGAATATAAGCACTGTTTTCAGCAAATTTAAAGTTTTATCTCAATGTTTAATTTTTCAAATACACTAATTGTTTTATATTTTGGCAGAATTAATAATTTTGTATCCCTGATACGATAAAGGGACAATAATTTTAAAACTGTGACGGAAGCATACAAATAATATTGCATAAACTTGCTTTCATCTTAGTTACAATGACTGATTTTTCTTTTTTTTCCTCTAGGGATGAGTTAGATGATAACATTTCCTCCAAAAACATGGCATTAGTTATACCTATCATTGTTACTGCATAAATTTTGATACATGGAGTAGATAATGTAACTGAAGTATTGCATCTTGGCTCAGTGTCGTCACAAGACTCTAAATTACTGTAATTTGAAAATTTATATTCTGTATTTTCTCTAATGCCACACTGTTAAAGCTGTTAACTTTCTTCTTGTTGTCCTGCACAAAAAATAGTGAACTGTAGCATCCTGATAGCTGGAAAAAAATGTGATAATTAGCAGGAAATTATTAAAATGTAGCAGTGATATTATTGATAAGCGTTTCATGCTTGATTCAAAGACTGAATCTGTAGGGACAGCTGTATTACCATAGAAGACTTCTAGTCAGATCCATATGAAGTAGTTCACAATCTCCATAAATACACAGTATGGAAAGGAGTCTCTTACAGGATTGCATGGGGTAATGTTTTAGATACTGCTCATGATAACTCTGAAGAGAATCTCTGTTTAATGGTGATCATAGGGTGTCCTAGCCACCTTTTTAACTTAAGCTTTACCACTAATATTTAGCATCAGTATGGTTTTGTCTTCATCATGTAAACCTGTGAGAAGTTTTCAGGAGCCATTCTGATAATGAGGATTGCAGTCTCCAACCAGCACAATATTCTCAGTTTGCCTCCCTGCTGTTCAGGGGGTACCAGTGAAGTTGCTTTAAATGGGAAGCGTCTGTTCTTCCTCTGAACCCCTCACACCAGAACAGATGGGTGGAACTTGGAACATGGAAGGTTTTACCTCAGAGGTGGTAACAGTGAAGCCACTCATTAACACTGAATTTACCACTTCGTTAGCAACGTTGCTTCCTGTTGAGAAAAGCTAATACAGGCTCTCAAATTGACTGAGCACACTTTCATCTACCTCTGCAATAATTAAACAAGGAAAACACATATCTTAGAGGGAAAATGGTCCTACTCAATTTCTTATAAACTTTTTGTGAATGTTTTTATACTCTGCTGCCTAATACTTATGAAACCTACAATACTGAGTTGTCAAATTGTTGGAGGTGCTGTGCATCAGCTGTTGTGCATGTGTTGGAGGTTTCAGTTCTTTTAATTGACTTTTGCATTACCGATTCTTAGTGCATGTTTGCACTGCCCATTTCTAACTTGTGTACGTGATGTAAAGACTCCTGCTGGGTGGTGTATTATCACCATTTTAGGGTGATAGCTTTGAGTATGATCTTATTGGAAGTTGTTATTTTAGTGGAAAATGACCCATATCAAAACAGCAAAGAAATGCAAAAATCTAAGAAATGGGAACATGAGAAACTGGGGTGTCTAGTAGAACATTTGCATAAAGGTGTGTTATAGATAAATAATACAACAAAATATTTCACACACTTTTAGCATTTATTATGCCTCTGACATGAGCATTGCTTTATTTTTCTAAATTGGGTAGTCCAGTGATGGAGTAGGAAAGGAAATATTTTTTTGATGACTTATTTTTTTCGTTGTATTTCTACTCCAAATAGAATGACTTTCATCTGCAAAAGTAAGTCATCTTACATTAGGGTTTGTTTTTTACAAACTTAAAGGAGGTTAAGTATTTGTTTTGTCCTTTTGCCGATTTGAAACAAAACAAGTACAATAACAAAGAACTTCCATGAGGCCGTAGCTAGCTTTGAATTGTGTGGATAGCTATCATAATGTTGAATTGAAAAACTAAAAGAAATGCTGGACTTACTTTAGAGTGTGACATATGAAGATTAAAGTGGTTGTGTTTAACCAGGTTGTTTTCTCTCCTTAGGAAAAAAGGATGTCCAGAGTGGTCTTCCTTGATTTCGATAAAGGACCATTGCAGGGAGCCATGGATATTAGTTGTGAGTTATAACATCTTAATTTAGAGAGTTAAGTAATGACTCCTTTTAACTGAGCTCTATTCAAAATGTTAATTAGTAACAGGAACTATGTGATGGCAGGAATCAAATCCCCCAGAACATCAAAGCAAGTGGTACTCTTTAAGGGTAAAATATGTGATTTCCATAAAATGCAGATAGACGTTTCTTGCTCCTAGACGAATATTTTAATGCCTTATGCTCACTGTGTTCTGAGGACCCATATGAGAGGTGAATGGCAGGGTAGACTGAAGTTTACATTCTTGTTGGTCACACGCTGATTTTCATGTGTAGGCAACTCCTTTGTGCTCACTAAGCATTAGGTAGATAATTTGGTGTAAGAATAAAAGTCACTTGTAGAAAAATAAAGCCTCCCATAGGGAATTTATATGCAGTTGTTCTCTGTACTAGTAGATACTGTTATTACCATGCTCTGAAATCCTATAATACCAAAGTAAACACCCCAGCAGGCTTCCATGTAGCATCAGGTCACTTGTATGCAAGTACTTTGAAAAAAGTGCTACCTTGAGAAACATAAAGATTATTTTAGTTTCCTAGTTGCTAGAGGAAGTATGTTTAAAAAAAAAAACAAACCAAACTAAAATTACTAGTCTGTGTAGCCTCTTCTCCTTACATGCTTTACTTCTAGAAAACAACTAAAGGTAAACTCTGTGTTTATGTACATGCAGAATGTATTCACAGGTGTTTTGACAACCTAATTTTCTCTATCTTATTTGTGTGTAGGTCTTCAGGCTTCTTTGAACTGGGATACTCGGCAGTGACTAGTTTGCTGTATGGTTATTAATATTGCATAGCAAAATAGTATATTTTAGCTGCTTCATTGATTATTTTTAAATGTCATGAATATCCTAAATAAAAAATATTTTTTTAAGAAGTTCAAAACATCTTTGTAGACTACAGTGTGAAGAAGAGTGATCCTGAAAAGAACTGTAAATTAAAATTGCCATTATTTATTTCTGTGATTACCTGATTCTTTTCTTGTTTGTTTTTTAGTATAAATATACTTAATGGACAGACCAGCAATATGGATGATTTAGAGATAAATACTGAAGTCTCTGGTGCTAAAGAAGAAGAAATCCTTTGTGATGATAATTTCATATCTGAGGAAGAAGGTGGCATTCCTAAACCACAAGAGAGTGACACGTCATTTCAGAAGAACAACACATTGACTCTGCCTGAGGAGCTATCAAGGGACAGATCTGAAAAAGCCTTAAGTGGAGGCCAGGCTTCTCTATTTATACACACTGGTGCTCCTACTGTTTCTAGTGAAAAATTTATGTTGTCTAGAGGAACTGCTGTTAATGGACCAGTTTCACACTCCACCTCAACAAAGACTTCCATTATGAATAAAGGCAGTGTTTCATTAACCACTGGACAGCCTGGAGGTCATCACACGGATTCCTGCTCAACTTTGACAGTGGTTCATGATCTTCAGCTGCCTGCAAAGAGTACAACACAGAAATCAAATCAGCACCAAGTTTTATTTTTGTTACCTGATGTAGCACATGCTAAGAACCTGACTCATTCCATTAAAAATCTAGCTACCTCTGCTTCAATTGGTTGTGATTCACAGAAAACAGTAGGAAATAGTGTAGACAGCACTTTAGTAGGCCAAGTAGAAGTTTGTGAGGATGATAAAAATTTACTATTAAAAGATGATTGTGTTGATACATTAACAGGCATTTCCTCAGGTACAGGTGGTTTTGGATCGGGATGTGATCCCAGCTGGGATCCACAAAAAGAGTTTATACAGTTTCTTATGACAAATGAAGAAACAATAGAGAAGTCTCCCATTCACTGTAAGGTAGGGCTAGAAAAAAAGCGAAAAAGGAAAATGGATGTTAGTAAAATAACGCGCTATACTGAAGACTGTTTTGATGATACCAGTTGTATTCCTAGTAAGTCAAAACTATTAAATGTTGACTTCTTAGAGCAAAATGAGGAGCTACAAATAGTAGAACCACAGAAATACTCATTGAGTAAAGTAAAGCCTGAATCCACAGATGAAGAGCTGGAAACTGTTGATGCTATCCAGCAGCTCATTTATAGTCCCAGTAGTAATTGTGCAGAAGATACTTCTCCTGTTCACACTAGCACTTTTCTTTCCAATACTTTGAAAAACAAATGTGAACAGAATGATTCTGAATCACCATCTACTTTCAGTACTGATGAACCATCATTTTATCCCTGTACAAAGTGCAATGTGAATTTTAGAGAGAAGAAACATCTGCATAGGCATATGATGTACCATTTAGATGGGAACAGTCATTTCCGACATCTCAATGTCCCCAGGCCTTACGCATGTAGGGAATGCGGAAGGACATTTCGAGATCGTAATTCACTTCTTAAACATATGATAATTCACCAGGAAAGAAGGCAGAAACTGATGGAAGAAATTCGTGAGCTGAAAGAACTTCAGGATGAGGGTAGGAGTGCACGGTTACAATGCCCGCAGTGTGTATTTGGTACCAATTGTCCCAAAACGTTTGTGCAGCATGCAAAGACCCATGAAAAAGATAAAAGATATTACTGCTGTGAGGAATGCAATTTCATGGCTGTGACAGAAAATGAACTGGAATGCCATCGAGGGATTGCTCATGGGGCAGTAGTCAAATGTTCAATTATTGGTAGCAACATATCCCAGAGGAAAACCCAGAAAAAGGCATCCTTGAAAGATCCCTATTTAGGATCCTCAAGAAAGTCATCGACATATATGTGTAAGATGTGTCCATTTGCTACTTCAGCTAGAAGCATTTTGAAAAAACACATGGCATATTTGCATCCAGCATCATGCATTGATCCCTTTGGTAGCCATCTTAGACTACAGAAGAGAAAAGGCAGTATAATAGAAGAGTCTTTAGGTTTTGGTGGCAGGACGAAACAGTTGATCAAACATTCTTCTACTTTTCCAAAGAACTCAGCTTTAAAACAGGATGTAAAAAGATCATTTGGCTCTACTTCACAGTCCAGTAACTTCACAAAACTTCACAAGAGACCCTACAGGATACAGAAGGCTCGGAAAAGCGTTTCACAGTCATCTGTAAGTGTGTGCAATCTAAATTCTACAAACAAGAACTTTTTGATTAGAAATAGCATTGACCAAAAACGTAAATGTTTTCATCAAGCAGCAAAGCAGAAAGCTAGTGCCAAAAAAAGTGGTAATTATTTATATAGACACAGATATGAAAACTACAGGATGATTAAAAAATCTAGTGACTCTTATCCTTTGCATTTAAAAAAGGAAGAGTCCAAATCTGTCAGTGCTTTACATTTATTTTCTTCATCAAGTAGTCCCCGTAATAATTGTTTTGTCATGGATTCAAATAGCCTTGATTGCAAAAGGGCGGAAGGCTGTAAAGATCGTAGGCATGTAGGTGTAAAAAGAGTGATTAAAGAATCCAAGAGGGAAGGCTCTGTTACAGATGATTTGGATTGCTATCCAGATTTTCTGCATAAAATGACTGTTGTTGTTTTACAGAAACTTAACTCTGCTGAAAAAAAAGACAGCTATGAAACGGAGGATGAAAGTTCATGGGATAATGTTGAACTATGTGATTACACTACACAGTCTGTGGAGGATGAATCTTACAGTGATATTAATCAGGAGCATGTAAACCTATTCCCCATATTCAAAGGTAAAATGGAAGATAATGAAGCTGGTGATAAATCTTCACTTGGTTATGAGCAGAATGATGGCTTTTATTTTGAGTATTATGAAGATGCTGAGGGTAGTAACTTCTTGCATGATTTGCATGATCCTCAGAATTTAGAAAATGTAGGATCAGCATTGCCAAAGCATAATTCAGTTTTCCACTGGACTGATTTGTCGCTTGAAAAGAAGTCCTGCCCATACTGTCCAGCAACCTTTGAAACAGGTGTTGGCTTGTCCAATCACGTCAGAGGACATCTTCACAGAGCTGGACTAAGCTATGAAGCCCGACATGTTGTTTCACCAGAACAGATAGCAACAAGTGACAAAATGCAGCATTTTAAAAGAGCTGGAACAGGAACTCCTGTTAAACGTGTTAGAAAAGGTAAGATTTTTTTTTATTATTTGGGTACAAAGTAAAGGGGACAAAGGGATTTATTGAGCACTATACAAGACTTGCTTTATCTTGTTGTAAAGCCTCTCATGATTTGTTGTCATGTTTAACTATATATAATTGTCAAAAAACATTATAATTATTTTCTTTGTAGCAATTGAAAAATCTGAAACTTCCTCTGAGCATACATGTCAGCTCTGTGGAGGCTGGTTCGATACTAAAATTGGATTGTCTAATCATGTGCGAGGACACCTGAAGAGGCTTGGCAAAACCAAGTGGGATGCACACAAGTCTCCGATCTGTGTTCTGAACGAGATGATGCAAAATGAAGAGAAGTATGAAAAAATCCTAAAGGCTTTGAACAGTCGCCGCATTATTCCCAGGCCGTTTGTTGCTCAGAAATTTGCATCAAATGATGACTTTTTATCTCAGAATGTTATACCTCTTGAAGCATACCATAATGGCCTAAAGACTGAAGATATATCTGTGTCTGCATCGGAGGAAGAAGGGCTGAGTTTCCTAAACGAATGTCATGAAACAAAAGCAGTACTACATGATGGCAAAAAAAATCAGTCACTTACACTGATAGAACTCCTGAAAAACAAGAGATTAGGAGAAGAAAGGAATCCTGATGTTTCCCCTCAAAAGATTCATAATCAAACTGCAAGAAAGAGGTTTGTTCAGAAATGTGTTCTTCCATTAAATGAAGACAGTCCATTGATGTATCAGCCACAAAAAATGGACTTGACTATGCAGTCAGGTAAGAAGGTGTTTCTTGACAACATTTCCAAAGAATCCTCTAATTCAGAGAAAATACACAAGTGCAAAGTATTTTATTTGGGATTCTGTTCATTTAATTCTTGTTTCATTTCCAGAGGACACTTGACTGCGAGAGGTAGCACAGCAAATTTTTCTGACATGTTTTTCCTAAAGTGAAAAAACCCCTCAGCAGCACTGAGGGGTTTTTGCATGGAACATAGTTCCTGTTCTGCATATGACTGGGCATACAAATTCAAAGCGGACACAAAGTGAGCCTCAGTAAGGAAGAAGACACATCCTGCAGTAAACAAGTTGAAGTGTCCCTGCATATTTGGTAGACTAACAGTTCTGAAATGTTCGGGCTTGTAACCCTGTTTTCAGGCATTAAAGCAGCTGGTTTGGGAATTACTGCATTTAAATCCTTGAGATATGTGCAAGGCAGCATTTGCTCAAACTAACAGAACTGTTGATACCATTATAAATGCATAATATTGCAAATTGGTGAAGCACTGTCAACTAATTTTGATGGTTTTAGGCAAACATACTCTTACAACATAGATTAATTCTTGTTTGTTGCAAAATTGCGGCTGCTCTGAGAAACTCATGCTTGCTTAGGGCCTGTCTATCCTGAGTGATGACCTGTGCTGGTTCATGCTTTGTTGGAATACAGTTGTAGCCAGCAGGTTTCTAATGCACAGCCTCTGACTGATGAGGACCTAGATTGTCCCTCTGCCGAGGATTGTGCTAATGAAACCATTCTACAGTCAACTTCCTAGCTAGTCTGTATACTAATAGAGCAGGCTTTTAGAGTGATGTTTTTAACCTACTTGTCACATAAGAGTTATTTCTAGTCTTGGGGAACTCTTACAACATCCTTTTTAATGTGTATGTAGAGCTTGCATTTACCTGTTTCTTGTTTGGACACCACCTTATAATGCTGCAGGATTCTTTAGATTGAGGAGCAGGATCTTATTTTTATACCCCTGACTTTTTTTTTTGTTCTGTTGCTTTTCTTGTTATTACCCAGGTTAGAAAAACTGGCAGTGCCTAGTACTTTTTCAGCTATATTCTTTTCTTCCTATAAACAAATAAAAACAACAATCTGATGTGCTCGGAAGTTCTTTTAGGGGACTACAAAAGTGTAGCAATCAATTTCTTAACAAAGGTGGCTTTCTAAAATGACATAGAAGTGGAACAGAGTTATATTTTATGTCTTCTGGACTTCTGTGGTTGTCCCTTAAGACAGGAGATTGCTTAATAAAGGAAGTGCATCTTTGACAGGCTTAATGATTTGAAAATGCTCAAGGAATAGCTTGCCAAACCTGACACTGTGTATTGCTTTCTGTTTAATATTTACTACTCAATACTAGGTAGCACCTGTTTGGTTGTGATGAACAGCCAAGTAAAAATAAACATACGCTTGCATAGTACTAACAGATACGAATGGGGCCCTTATAGTTTTCTGCGGCTGAGGTAACAGAATTTGACAACTAACGCACTGCGCCAGTTGAATAAGAAAATATTTAACCTGAAGTTGAAAATCTTCCATTTTTCCTAAAAAAGACAAATATTTCTGATTCTGGTTATAGTTTTTAAAAGGTTTTTACCAACCAAGTGTTCTTCTTCTGCAACTTGCCTGAAAAAACAGCATGTCTTCTGTGGCTGCTGGAGAATAGCATTCTTTCTTTCCTGCAAACAGAGGCTTTCCAGCTGAGTAGTTTTAGCTTTTTTATTTATTCTTCTAATAATTTATTAGTAGAGAACCTGAAATATTAGTTGACCAAAACAATATATCTGTGGTAAAATGAAGGGAGAAACATTATGGTGAAGTGAGCAGGGGATAAGTTACTACGGTTTCTTTGTCTGTAAGTGAGGACTTCAGTACTGTTTCACTGTTTTCCTGTGATAAATAGCATGTTGCTTTGTTGATCGTTTATTTAGCACAAAGATTTTAGCAAAAACCTTCATTTACTTTCGTTATCAATTACACATCTAAAGTAAGAACAGAAATGCACTGAACAAAACATTTTGTCTAACAGCTGTTCAGTGGTGTGTTTTACCACCTTTTTCTCTGAGCCTTCAACAACAGACTAATTTTAGTATGGAGCTCTTCAGTCTTATGCGTGAAACACTTTTAATTACCACTTTGTCAACTTGACTTTCCAAATTCTCTTTATTGGAAATGTTGAAAGCTCTGAAATTTCTCAACAGAATTGTGCTACTCAAATTGCAGGATTGTATTTTGGATTAGAGCTTCATAATGTGGAGATCTGTAGGAACTTGGTAGTTGGTATTAAATGCAGAGTAGCGTAATGGGCTCAAGTTGCCTCCTTTCTGTTATTTTTCAAATAACGTGGTTTGGCTTAAAGCACCAGGTGGAAAACTAATAACGGTTAACATGGATCCTTCTAATATACTAAACAATTGCGTCAATGCAGTGAATATATTTTAAACCATCTTTATTGCAGAAAACTTTTTACAACGCTTTGAGAATTTCATTTTTTGAAGAGAGAACTGGATTATAGTTTTCTTTTGAATGATAGGTATGCCTGTGAAGCTTAGAACGTGTGTGCATTGCAATACGACGTTTACAAGTGCTGTTAGCCTGTCCAACCACTTACGCGCTTATGCACGAAAGAAGAGTGCTGGACTTTTGACTGGGACAGGTATGTTTTGTTACAGATGTAAAAGCAAGTCTGTCTATGATACATTTTCTTCATCAGACTGGACAAAAGCATATGTTAATTCAAAATAATTTTGAAGCTTCTGCTGGTAAACAATTTATTTGCCTTAAAACTTCAGCAACTTGTAAGATAAGGTATGTTGCTGTTGTCCACTCTCATGTCTGATTTTCATTCTTACTCTTTGATTTTGGATCCAACATTTAAGGTATGTAAGCAAAACTAAGAGATGGTTGCTTAAATTCGTTTTCCTACAATATCACAACTTTCAAACCAGATAATTGGCCTTCTAATGAAGTGTTTAAAAGTATCTCAAAAATGAGAGCGGGGGAAAACAAAGGCAACAAAACAACAAGTAATTTTTACAGTCTAGTACATATAATTATGAAGAATACTGTAGTAAAATAGGAAAAGCAAATAATTTTATACTTTGTATATTTTTAACAACATACTGTATGTAGTTGGTTTCATTTCTTGTTTGGCTCACAACCCAAAAACTGACATTGAGTGTAGTACAGCATTTGGCACTGCTATTAATGTTTTTAATTAAAACACACTTCCTTTTGAAATTCATCTAATATTCCATATTTTGATTTGTTTCCAGAGGCCTGCAGCTTGCTTGGCTGTAGGAAATTTCTGAGTTTACTTGGATTATTGCTGAGATTAGTGGGACTTCACAACAGCAAATTGAGGAGTAGAGATGCAATATAGTGAGGAAATTTGGCAGATATGAAGTCTGGAATATTCTGTAATTAAGAAGGGCAGCCATCACTTTTCTGTGTTAACAAGCACAGACTTTTACATAATGCTCTTAGAAAATGCATAATCCTTTTTTTATCTGCAAATGTAATTCATTATGCTAAGAATGACAAACTGATTTGCAAGCTTTCTCTGCAGAAGGCTAAAAGAAATATTTTTACAGAATGGGCCTGTGGCTGCCAGGTCTTATGTTACACTACATTAATGCTATAACAAAGCAGATTTAGAAGGAAGTCAGCAGATGCAGTAATGTCTAATGCGTAGGAGAATATGTCTTTAGTCAGTGATTCTGAAAATTTTCATATTTATTCAGTAGAAAGGTGATGGTAGTGGACTTCATTTACCACTGCTTTGATTTGATACTAGCCCTGTGGTAAGTTATTTTTCTTACACACCTACTGATGAAGTATTTTTCAGTAGTTATACTATTTGAATTGCACATTGAGAACTTAATAATTCAGTGAAAGAACCACAGTGGCAGACAGGATAGTACACAGAGATTGAATCCTGGTCTAGCTGTTTGTACCTAGCTTCCCTTTTGCTAAATGGGAAGAGTGAAGCAAGCTTGTTAGGGTGCTTTCAGGGATTTTTGTTTGTTTTCTATAAGAAGTGTATTTTGCTAGTGAAGTATTTACCTTCTCATCAGAACAGTTGCCACATTTTTTTAAAGAACTGAAAGAAAACTCAAGTCTTTTATCATTGGACCTAGAATTTGGTTTAAAATTAGGTTATAAATGAAATGAGGTTAGAACCTCCGATAACAGGTTAGAAACAAAACTTTGAAAAAAAAAATCTTTTGAACTCGGAAGCTTGAGCTAAGTCAGATAAATGGCCTGTACCATGGATAAAGGCCTTTTGCTGAAACCATTGACTTAAAGAGTCAATATTAAGTTCTAGCTATAACATGCAGCCAATGTATATTTATATTAACTTAGTCATTATATTGCTGTAACTCTGTGAAGCTTGTAAACTTTGCGCCCTGACTTTTCATTCAAGCAAGCTTAATGCAAGGCTTGTAGATGAGAAAACATACTTTTAAACGTGGTTTTATTTGATATTCCACTTTATAACTCAAGAGAATGATTTTAATGCAAGATTTCACTAGCACGCACTAGTTTTAAACTTTGCTGTGAGTGTTGTTCTTGGGGAGATCTCAAGTTTTATTATTAAAAAATTTTTGCAGTTGAGAGCAATTTCAAGATGTCTTCAGTTTGGCCTCAGCCACAGCTGAACCTTCAATGGCCCTCAGCTGTTGTATGGAGACAATGAGGATATGTTTATACAGGTTCCTTCTTCTGTTTTCATGAAACCTTTCTTAGCTCTTCTAAAGTAAATGTAACTACCAGAAAGAAACCACAGTGGCTGATTATTTTCTCAGTATCTTCCTGTAATTAAATAATCGTGTGTAAACATGAATGCTGTAATTCTTTTATTTGGCAATTATTAGGGGAATTATCAAGGCATTACTGTTTTTAAGAGAAATATAGTAATCTCTGCATGCCACCAATGAGACCTCTCCTAGTGCTACAGTAGCTTACATATTAGTCTTCTCAGATTTTCGATTTGTTTGCACGTGGTTTTGATATTGACTGTTATCATATTGCTTTTCTGGCAGATGCCCTACTTCTTCAGAGTCAGTAATTTGATTATATTTAGTTAAATCTTACTCTTTTTTTTTCAAATGCAACTTGACAGTTTTAGCAGTATAGTAGACATAGTTACACATAATGGTAGCTTTGGAGAACGGACTCAAGAAAAACATCCTAGAAGTGAAAGTTACTAAGCTGTTGGCTGTTTGAGGTTAGTCTTTATTATATCTTATTTGTGCCTGTAGGTTTGCATTATAAATCCAATGTATAGCAAATACCTGTCTAGGTTCACTTAATAGTCGCTTTTGTATTATTGCTTGCATAATCATCTTCAGATGACTGGCTGGAACGTTTTTTTCATTATTCAGTCCAACTTCGAACAACGTAATTATTTAATTGCTCATCTTGAGTAGATGCTAATTTCCTTTTAATACACATTTTGATGAATACCAACACATTGGTGTTTCTCAGAGCATGTGGCAGACTTGCTTCTTTTTCTGATTAACTTGAGAGCGTTGGACAGACCTACACAAAATCTTCAAAATGCATCTCACTCTTCTTGATTATAGTTGTATGTTCAGCTTCCTTTCTTTTCTTCTCTCTAGGCCCCTCTTCCTCCCCCTACCCCGCTCTCCCCAGGTTTCTTGATACACTCTTGCACTCTGGCTTTTTACATCTTCTCTTTGTTGACTCTTTTCTCACACTCAGTCTCTTCATACTGGCTGTCATCTTCTAGGAATCACCTCTTTATTCTTTGGTTGTTGCTTCTGTAGATGGAGACTGCTTCTTCAGAAGTTCAGGAGGGAACAATAAAGTACAGAACAAGAAGTCTGGCCTTCAAGCCAACAGTGTGACTGAGGTAGCAGTTCACGAGGCCACTACACATCCAAATAATTTCAAATATTGCTTTGTCAAAATTGTAGCTTTGGGAAGTTTGTGGTGGAAGCATATCCAGCTACAGCAGAAATCTGAGGTCCACTGACTTTGCGTGTCTTTATTCTGTGCAGTTACAGTTACAAACAATCAGCCATCACAATGAGCTGATTTTCAGCATCCTATAAAATCCTTCAGGGAGCACATTACTGGAGGGTTTTTTTAGTGCACTTTACTGTGCAGTAATTATGAGGATAGATAGTGAGTGATTGAATTTGAAAAATTAGTGACTAAATGTACAAGAAAGATATTTCATTATTTTTTACTTTTTAATTGGCAGTTTTCAAATGGTTAATTAGCTCCATTCATGTGTGCAATTATTCAACTTGTGTTAGCTTACATACACTATAACAAAATTCATAAAGTCTGATTAAAAGACTCAGGTCTAGTCTTCCTGAAATAAGAAACTTTCCATGTTGGTGGACATCAGGAAGCAGAGCATTTTAATTTTGCACTGCAGACCGAGTGTCTTAGCATGAAGGGCCTCCAACTGTCACCTACCTAATTCATGTTGTCTTAGGCATGCTCATTTAAACCTCTTATCTCTCACTACTTGTAGTGTTTCTTGATAAGTGGTCACAGAGGTAAAGAACATTTTTATATGCAGCCTTTTTACCTAGCACATATTTTTCTAAATAGTGTGCTCTGAAATTGAACTTGAGCACCTCCAGGAGTTTGATTGTCTTGTTTTAAATGGGTTGCTTCTCTGTCATGTTGTATCAGTGGTTTGATGAAGTGATATGACTCGTTGTTTACAAGTTTTTTGAATAGCAACTGGGAAACACCGGGTATCCAAACTTGAAGGAAGGACGCTTCTTCCAAAAAGAAGTAGGCCTTTATGGAGAACGAAAGACGATAGTTTGGAAAGTGTTGTAACTACAAAGTAGTAGTGGAAGGTAGTTCCTGCCTTTCTGGCAATTTGCTGCAGTTTCCATGCAGCTTACCGGAGCTAAATTATCCTTGGTGTCTTCGTGGAAGCGATGAAAACATACTTTCTGAGGAGTTCATGCTTTGTTACAGTAAAGACATAGGAAGTACAGTAACTGAGTTTTGGTCAGAACATGGCTGTGTTATGGGTAGGCAGTGGGTGAGGCAATTGTGTGACTTACTTGATGCGTGCAACCACTTGTAAGCATCGTATCAAGACTACCGAAGTGTGTGCATGTGACTTCATTTAAACTTGTTGCTTTCTGGATAGACAAAATGAAACTAATGTGACAATTACTGGTCTGCGTGGCTGATAACTGCTGTTGGAATTATGGTTTTCACTTGGCTTTACACAGATGTTACTCTTTCTCTGCTCACTTTTCCAGCTTCACTGGAGTAACTTCAAAATGTACTTGTGCTGCTTTGAGCTCCCTAAACTGTGATAGAATATGTTCACTAGCTCAAAAGACAAAAGGAACAAAAAATTTTTTACAGAACACCGGTTCAGTATTCTTAGTGTTTTCTGTCTTTTGTAACAGCTTATTGCCTGGGCAAATCTACTTTCAAATTTAGCCAAGTTGCTCTGAGAATGCGTTGAGTAATTTGAATCTTTTTTCTTGATGTCATTTACTGTGATATTTTCTGCCCTTTCTTTTGTAATTTCTCTGTCTAGAGCCTCCATCATAAATGGCTCAGAGAAGATACCCATTCTTTTGTTTTTCTTGTTTTCTCAATGTTCATGGAAAAGGTGCCTTTCAAGGAAGCAGAAACTACCTCTTCTGGTGCATTATGGCAGTTTCTGTCAGTGTTGCTGTTGTTTGGTTGCACAGTAGTTCAGAGGGGGTTTTTTTCTTAGTAGATTATACACACAAAACCATTAGGTTTCAGGAACTCTGTTGCAGAAGACTAATCCAGGGCTAAAAAGAAAGAGAAATGCTCTGGATGTGTGTGAGTAGAATCAAATTTCTTTATGGGAATGAATGTCTTTGCCAACATGAAGGAAATCAACCAGTTCTTATTTAAAATGCAGGTTGGCCTCGCTAGTAGTCTGTTATCTACTGCTTCTTTTATTTTACTGATATCAACTGACATCAGCTAACTGTCCTCAGATACAACTCGTGGACGTGTTTGCATTTGGATAATACTGATTTCTGTTTCCCTTCTTCCCATGATGTTCTGCAAAATCATCAAAGGCAAAGCTTTTGCTGTAATAACTGCTTCAGATAAGTCGCCCCTCACACAAATAGTTCTCTTCAGAGCATGGGTGTCTGGGTTCCAGTATTTTATCTGCTTACATTTCTGATGATGTTGTTACTGAAGTTGCGGTATGTAAAATATTTATACTATTTGGTAGTTCCTACAGCCTGAATGATATCTTTTTTCTTCCTGATTAAATGAAGAATATGCTTTTGGTGAGAGAATAAAGTATTAAAAAATCCTTAACAATTTTCCAGAAGTTATCTTGGCCATTTCTCTCTCTCCCCCTGCCACCTTGGGTTACTGCCTTTATATCCAGACTGCTTTCATTGTTGCTGTCAGAAAAAAATGCTGTTAAGCCTCGTTTTCCTGATTTTGGTCTGAAGGAAGTCTCTTTAGGTCGGTGTCTGCTTTCAATTTATTTTATTAGTTCTCTGATACCTTCAAATCTCAGAAATTCATTCTAAAATTTTAGATACTGTAGGAATCTTTAAATCTGGGGATGGAACTGGGAAATGTCTGGTATATCTACCAAGTTAAAAGCCTGGGCTACAGAGTAAAAGCTGGAGAGGTGTTCCTTTGGAAGAAATGAGAAAAATGAAGGATGCAGTCAAGACCTGTGTTCTTTAAATCAACATGTTTTGCCTCACCTTATGCTTCAAAATACTAAGAGGTTAATTATTCTGTTTTATATTATAGGAGTTAAAACTTTAGACAAGTGTAACAATTTTTTTTTAATTTTACTGTTAAGATGCTTCAGTAGTGTAGCATTATACCTTCTTGGTATCAAGAATACCACCTGGTGCTGTCTTTCCAGTTTTTGTGGAGTTTTTGATGAAGTGGTGTAACTGATTATTTACAAAAGTTATTTGTGTTATAGTTTTATTGTTGGTGTCTTGTTTTGGAAGAGTGTAGCTAGATATACTTCTCAGTTCAAGCAATCACAAACTTCTTGAGCTTTATCAGCTGTTTTCATCATAACAATATTAACTCAGTTTAATCTACTCATCCCCCACTTCGGCTGCTTCTTAGAATGGCCAGATTTTGTTACAGATTCCCATTACATCTGTTTATAGGAGGTACAGACCTCAAAGCTAACTGAACACATTTGCTATGCATTTCCTGTTCTCACACGTTATTTTCATACATAGTTTCAAATGCTTAGACTGAATGTGACCTTGCCATCTCTGTTGATTGTCCTAATAAGAACTCCCACTGCCACGGACTAATACATACTTTTTGTAAACTGCACTAGAATTCAGACAGGAGCAAGGGGGAAGCTTCATTTGAAATTCTTAGAACAAAAGGACAGATTTTTGCTTTATGTTGAAATATGTGTTCTATTCAAACTAAAAATTCGTGATCATAGTAGCTGAAAGCTACAACTTTATGAAGTTGTAACTTGGTTGAACGTGAGTGGTCTTATGATGGTACTTGAACTACAAAACAAGTTTGAGATTTTGACAGCATTTTATTCATGAAAGGGAATTTCCAATGGTGCTTTGCTTCTGTATAATGCTGCAATAGGTCTGTAGGTGCTTCCTGATACTAAAACAGCAGTTTAATGCTGATTGTCAATTATATAGTCTTAAAAAGAGCAAGCACTGTGCTAAACTAAAAAAAATAGCTTCATGTGTTTTGTCAGTATGTTTCTTAGCATACACTGTAATTGTTTTGGATTTACATTATAATTAAATGTAGAATAACAAGGAGGTAGATGTCTTTTCACTACTGCTATAGGGAATACTTACTGAATATCTCTGTTTGGTTAACACTTATTGAAGTATTACTTTCACATATGGAAATTTCTCTTCTTAGCTTTAGACTGTAAGCAAAAGAAGTCAAGGTCAAGATCTGGAAGCAAGAAGAAAATGCTGCCGTTACCTCATAGTGCTGATGAAGTTTACATACTCAGATGCAGGTATATAGTGTTATTTTCATTGAAAGAACACATTACTAAGAGCTTACTAATTTTAGTCATAAAAAGATATAGGATTGTATCTCGTAAATGTTTGTGATTAAACTGAATAATATGGAGGGTAAGCAATTGCCTATTTTCATTAATTTGGACAAGAGGATTTGATTCTGTCATACTTGGGTGATTGCCAGTTGCTTCTCTAGCTAAAATCTTACTGGTCATGTCTAAGTAATATTCTGTCCTTCAAAAGAAACCTTACATAAGAACAGATTGTTATTGCTAGTGTTAAAAATGTGAGAGTGTGAGTTGTATAAACTGCAGGGTTTTGTGCTCACAGTTACTACTAATGAACTCAATTACTAAGTTTTTCAGCTAACATATATAGAAATAAACTTCAAGAAAATTAAGACTTTCCACTTACTGTCTGTGTTTTATAATTTTTCAGTAGAGCTAGATATATCTTGATGGATTAATTTTAATATTTGCATAGGTTTTGTGGTCTGGTCTTTCGAGGACCTCTGTCTGTTCAAGAGGACTGGATAAAGCACTTGCAGCGACACATTGTCAACGCAAATCTTCCACGGACTGGAGCTGGCATGGTTGAAGTCACATCACTACTTAAAAAGCCTGCTTCAATTACTGAAACTTCATTTTCTTTACTGATGGCAGAAGCAGCATCATAGAACAAGGAAACATTTTAAATTTTAATTGGGTGTAAATTTGAAATACTTCATCATTTTTTAAAATAAATTGCTACACTAAATTATGTTTATAAATGCTAAAGACAGAAAAATAGAGAAGGATTACAGTAACATCAAAATAAATTGAATACTTAACAGTTACAGTAAGTAGTCTTTATATTTTATATAGGGTGGAAGATGTGTTTTTAAGGTTTATTATGTTTTTGTCAGTTACTGTGTTCACTATCAATAAAAGACCATTATATGTATGGCAGCCATTTTTAAATTGTTGCACAGGGGTACTTAAAAGACAGATTTTAATAAAACAAAGAAACCACGTTCTCTTCAGTGTTACCCAAATCAAGGCTCTGTTTATTCCAAAAAGAATTACATAGTAAAATAAGATACTATTATATTTTGTTTGTATGTATGTAGTGTTTTGTATAATACCAAGAACTGCTAATACAATTTACTCAACTTAGGGCATTAAATACCATGTACTTCATAGTTCAAGAGACTGTTTCGTTCCAATAGGGCAATTAGTACTATTCTATCTAGGTGTGTAAGTGTTTTTTTTAAATCACATGAGGCTTTTTGTACTAAAAAGTGGAGGGAAACTTGTTTAAACAAATTTCTAAGAGAAATATGTACATAATACTGGAAATTTGTGGTAAGGAAATATTCTTTACTTCAGTTGCATTTCTCACTGACAATAAAGTGGTGCATCCATGCTACCTCCTACTTGTCAACAAAGATGGTATTTACCCTTATGTTTTTGTATCATAGTAGATTCAATCCAACTTTCTTTATTACAAAGCATCTTTTTGTTAACAAGTTTGTTACTTTTATGATGATTTACTTAAAGTCTGACTTGCTTACAGAAGTTTGCCTCTACTATTTTATTTAACACTGTAGAAATGTACTAATAAGCATTGCTCACTACACAGTTAGAGTAGACTTTTCATTTATAATTCTGTTTAAAAGATTGATCATTTTAGAAAATTCAAACACAGATTGAATTGTTTCTACATATGAAGAGAATGTTTACAACTTAAATTTTAGAGCTTGTTTTGGATGTGATTATATGTATGAAAACTGTAACACTATGCTCATGCTAAGGACCTACTTACAGAATTATTGAAATAAATGTGCTGTGAGGATGGAAATATGGTGCAGGTGTCTTGGTCATGATGAATTGTGTTTGTTCATTTAAACTGTCTTCAAAACATGATTTTTGTTTAAATCAAATTAGATTCCTCTACAAATCAATTTTGTATGCAAGTAACATTTCATTTTACTCATATAGGGTAACATACTGTAGTTAAGCCAAGGATATGCATTGATATTTTCTTTATATGTAAATAAAGTTAAAAGCAGTTAAAGCAAGAGGAGTATTTTGGTAGAGTATATACATACCTCACTGCCAGTGAAATTGCTTTCCTATGGTATATCTCCTTACCGGAAAAATCTCTAAATAAAAAGGTTTAAAGAAAATCTAAATGTCTATAATGTGAAGCATTTATTTGCATTGTGTGAATTAAGTTTGTGAAATTGATTTGTCTTGCTTGAGATTAGAATCTTCACATGATCTTAAGTAAAAGTACATTTACTTGCAATAAACTGAATTGTTCACAGACGCATTACATTTGATTGGTGGAAAATATGAATAAATGTCTGTCTTCCTGGGTGCACGGAGTTTAGAGTTAACACATGAGGCTTGTTAATGTTCTGATAAAATAGATGGGCTGAAGATGCACAGCTCAACAGGACAGAGTCCTCAGATATGGCCATCCTAACTCTTCAAGGCTGTCGTTAAATTAGTGCTATCAGGTGTTTAACTGTACAAATTGCTATAGCTAAGTTTAGCTTTCTTGTCAGAATTTATTCTCTTATAACTGGAAAATCTACATTGTTACATTTAAAGGCTGGAGGAAAAAATACTTTAGAGATTTTAGAAAAGATAACTGGGATGTTGAAGTATATTGCAGACAAATTATGTATATGCAGACTAACAAATTTCTAAATTTGTGGATGCTTGTGAGATTTTTTTATACGCTGTGAAAATGGAAGATTTAAAGCAATGTGTTGAAGCAAATAGAGGGAAGTGATCAAATCACCTTGAATGTTTATAATGCTTTAATAGAGTGCTTGTTTACCCTTCTCACCAAAAAAAGTGCTTGTGAGAGCACCATATTTTGTGGCTGTTTAACAAATGAGCAAATCAATGAAGTGCAAATGATATTTATCTAGTATTGTTAAGAATGCTTGTAAGGTGAAGCCATACCGTGCGGAATTTCGCGTTAGCAAAAAACTCTTACTAGGTTAATAATAATAACAATAATAATAATAATAAAATCCTAGTTCATTCTATTTAATTCATTAAACCCCAATAGTGAGCTGCTTTGTGTAACGCTAAAATGCAAGGTTGTGTGAAGAGCAGGGAGTCTAGGGCTGATAAGTTTCCAAAATGAGATTATATTGATGAGGAGCAGAGTTTTCATTGACAGGCTGAGTGGGTGCACTGGAGCTGTGTGCCTGACTTGCATCAGATCCTTGCAATATAGTTTGAAATATATGCAGAAGTTCTAGAACTCTTCTGATTATTAAATTAATTGATATATGGTTGATACAAACTAAATTAACTTTTAAAATAAAAAATCAGAGCACCCTTTAGCTGTCTTTAGCCTCTAGTCCTCAAGTGGGGCTATTAATTTTCTTGGTTTCTGTTGTTTGGAAATACGGATCTTCTGTCACTACCTTCAAGGAAATATAAATCTCCCTTTCTGGAATTACAGAAATTCTAAATAATGTGTTAGAAGAGGGTAAATTAAATCAGTTGCTCATGTTCTGGGGGTTGAGAGGCTCTGTGGCAGTCTGTGCTAAAGAGCTGGACTTCCAGAGTTGCACATAGAAACACAAGTGTTAGTCTGTTCAGATTGACTTAGATTGCTTTGGGGTAAAGGCTGCAGTGGTGCAGTGATTTTTGTTTGGTTGATTTTGGTTCTTTTTCACAGTCTTGTTTCTGAAGTTATCCTAGTTTCTGGTAAAGGTCTCTTAAGTAGTAACCTCAGGAAAATTACAAAAGAATTTTCAGAATGCTTAGAGAAGCCTTGGAAATTGTAGAAGACCACCCCATACACTTTTTGTAAAATGACTGCCTATATTCCCTAATCGCAGTGATATTTCCAAATTATATTCAAAAATTAAAACTCTGTTGCATTCCTTGAAAAGATGTTTCTGCAGAATGTTGGAAAGATGATTTTAAAGTGCCCATGGTAGTGTGTCAGGCTCTATGCATTGGAAATGGAGGCAAGCAGACAACATGTGTTGGCTCACAGAGACTCCTGGGCATTTACTGCTGTTGCAGGTTGGATGACCTGTGCGAGGTGCACTGTTCCCACGAGCTGAGGCGGTCCAGCTCTGCCCACAGATCCAACTTCTGCTTCCTCAGGGCACGCCTTACCCAGCCAGCAGTGTCAGGAAATGAGCTGTTGACTCCTTGATGGAGAGGAAGCACTGAGCAGTGATAGGTACCGGGAGCTGTGGGGGAGGGAGAGCGAGGGCCAGATGTGCCAGAGATGGGCACTGTAACAGTCGGGTGCAGGTCCTGGGCCACACGGTTTGTGTTTGAGCTGTGTGCCTGCACAAAGTTCTGCCTTTTCAGCCATGCTCAGGGAAATCAGCAAGGTCTTTGAGGTAAGTAGATCACAGGAGGAACGCGAGTTATGAACTGGGGCTCAGAGAAGAGCATCCAAAGTTCCAAAGGTCAGCATCACAGGCCTGAGATGGGAAGATGTGTTCCTGCAAAGCTTTTTTGACTATGGTGTTTTTTCTGAGCTGGTTATGGTTCTGGGTTTCCTGCAGTGTTTTAAAGAGGGGTTATGCATTAAATCTACCTGATTCTGAAAACCTACAGAAGATAAATTGGGCTGACCAAATGAGGAAACATTAACTGCAAATAACATGTACTGGCTTTTAACTTAATGGTTAAGGGCTGTGAACAAAGCCTGTTTAGTTGAATGCTATGGTTAACAGACTTCCACTTTTTATCACAGTAGTTAAATGCCTGGATACTTAAACACCAGTTTCATATTTAAAAGATTGGTTTATATAGTTTTGACTTTGTTTAAAAAAATCTTTTTAGGGTGGTACTTATTTAAAAAAGCTGACTGCATTATGATTTCAGATATTTCAATCCACCATGCTTTGTAGGTGCTGTTGCCTGATACATGGGTAGCAATTGTGATGTAATGGAAACATTTGGCCATAGTGCCAGGTTTGTGATCTCTTGCAATAAAATGTTCCTTTTTAACACTGCAGGCTTCTTGGTGTTTTTCCCAGTGTTCGGAGGTGAGCTGCATGGCATGTGTCACTTAATTCTGCAGGGAATTCTGCCCCAACCAGAACAGTTACGTGGCAAGGCAAGGAGGGCTGTTTTGCTGGCTGTAGCCTTCTGAAAATTCAGAGGTGAGGCAAAATGGGGGTATTTACGTTTCAGTATTGGAGACCAAGAATGAGAATTGGTGGCTGAGGGAACATCACCAGAGAAAGGGGCCCAAAGCTGAAGCTCAGTCACAAGTAACAGTGATTCTCTCATCTGTGCACGTCTGCCCACTTCTCTCTCTCTGTTCACTCTGGTTTCACTGGTGCCTTCTTTCCCAGTTAGAAGCAGTTTTCCCCTGCAGCACTAGGTGTGCAGTGTCTTGCACATGTACCTGGGCACAGAGTACACTGAAAAATCCAATCTACCTGGCATTCTGCGAGTTCCTGGTCTCCTGCAGCACGAAAGGATTCATAGCCATACCACAGCCATTCATACACACTGTAAGCAAAAAATGTAGAGGTTGATCAAATATAGCATAAAGAACTGTTGGGGTGTGTTTGTTTTAAATAAGGGCTGGAATGGGGATCCCTTCCGTGTTTTGAACTCTGGCACTGCTCGTTCTCATTTCTAGTTCCACTACAGGCTGATAAACTTGTATTTAAAAAGCAAAACAAAAGAAATCTCTCTAATTTTAGAGCCCTATTCCCCTATTAAGCTTTGAACATAAGTCAGCTAACAGCCTTTTTATAAAACTGCTTAGTAATACTCAAGTGCATTAAGTAGAAAAACCTGGTGGTCCAAGTAGCTGGTGCCTGGTGGCAGTGCTTGCCCTTCAAGGACACGGTCCCGGATGCCTGGGCTCATGTGCAGGTGGCTCCAGTGTGCCGGAATGGGAGGTGGAGGGGTTTGAGCAGTGTGTCACTGGCTATGATGGTGGTTTGCACAGGTCGCCTGGAGACTGACGTGGTGTTATTTTGGCTGGAAATAAAAATTGGAATAAATATATTCCTGTGGGGATGCTTTTCCTTAGGTGGAGGCAAAGTTTATTATAAAAGCCCTGAAAGACCTTTCTTACGCAGGCTCCACAAGCTCTTCTCACTACAATTAAAACCCAAGCAAATAGTATCCTTGGTAACTGTAAGCCCAGAAACCCCAAAATTACAACTCTTACTGTTCAGTGAGGGAATGAAGGGAGCCTTGGAACCTTCTCACAGCTTCCAAGGTGCTTGTAATACACATGTATAAATTGCAACGTTGTTGGGCTTTCTATCCTATACTTTTAAATAAAAGTATTTTTAACTTGTAAGATCTGAGGTTAATGTAACAAGTGATGATGGTAACCCTTCTGCTTTTTTGTTAGAGACCTGCAACATGAAACATGCTTACATGATATTCCCGGTAAGTGTTCCTAAATATAAACAACCATTTTTAAAAAACCTGTTTATTGTAAACTGGAAACTTCCCATGTAAACATTTGATTATGTATTTTTAAGTCAGGAGCAGCTGTGAATCATGTTTGTAGCTCTCTGTGAAGCTCATCCAAATCCATCCTCACTGCTGTAGCAACAAATGCTGAAGCTCTCAATCCCATTGTGCTCTTTGAAACGGCTTCAGAAGAGAAGAGACTGATAGAGCAGAATGCTCCATTAAAACACCATTAACCTGTGTTTTAACCAAATAAGGAATTGTGTGTCACCCAGGTACAAGTCTTGCTGACAAGAAATAATACTTTTATCTTTCTCTTCCCTGAAAAAAACAATTGTGTGAAAGTAGGAGAAAGAAAACAGCCTTATTTGGATAAAGAAGCAGGGGGGAAAAATCTTTTAAAAACAAACAAACAAACAAAAACCCCATAGGTTAAAAGAGAAACTGCAAACAGGAGAAGACAGTATAAGCCTGAGGTTGACACTTGTTTTGTAGTCCCTGAAATCTAGCTGATGGCTGCATTTGCTGTGCCTCCAAATCTTCAGGGGTGCGCTTGGGTTCCTGGCACAGCGGAGGTTAGGGCAAATATTATCCTTAGCTGAACAGCCAAGGATTAAGTTGTAACCCCAAACTGTTAAAGAAATAGGCAGTGACAGGGAAAAGAGACTTTAAATCCAATTTCTTGTGCTGAAAGTCAACTGTACTCATTCCCTTTGCCATCTGGAGTACATTTACTGATGCTTTTTAAGTGCTGCATATA